AAACATCATTGTGAGTGTACACATTGAAACAAATCTCTGTTAGAAGACAACGGGCAAGCCAACAACTTACCTGCTAAATTCACACAAGGAGATGATTTGCAAGTTAAGGACAATGTTACAGGCAAAAATGTTCATTATTGCATTTTTTTCTTGTCACAGAGAAACATTCGAAACAATTTAAAAATTCAACAGAGAAAACCAAAGAAATTACTGATGGCCTACCTTCTCTTCAATGAAATACTACATGATCATTAAAATCTGCAACTATAGGGAAAAGAGAGGACAGAGACAGAGGCAGGGGGAGGGAGGAAGGAGAGAACAGAATGTTAGAATAATATAACCCTACATGTCAATAGAGATCCTCTCTTTGGGATAAACTTTCTGTTGTTAGAATTTTTTTTTTAAGATTTTATTTATTTATTTGACAGAGAGAGATCACAAGTAGGCAGAGAGGCAGGCAGAGAGAGACAGAGAAGCAGGTTCCCTCCTGAGCAGAGAGCCCAATGCGGGGCTTAATCCCAGGACCTGAGATCATGACCTGAGCCGAAGGCAGAGGCTTAACCCACTGAGCCACCCAGGTACCCCTGTTGTTAGAATTATTGTTAACTTCTTTGGTTTGCTTTTCTCTTTCAGAGTTTTCTTTATGGTTTGAATTTGTTTACCTCTGCCCCAAATCTGGGCTACAAAAGATTATTCCAATATAAGCAAACACCCGGTCCTCCTTCTGTTTGCCAAAGATCATAATCTCAGCAGAGAGATCATAAATACCTAATAAAGAAGTCAGGATATATGGTAATACCCAGCCAACTTGGCTTTCCTGAGGACCTTGGCTCTGAGAACATCAAAGCCCTTCCCACACATGAGTTCACTCATTCTTATGCCTTTTGGCTGAAACCTGGCTTGGAATTTCAGAAGCAGCCAGGGTCACACTGCTTCTTGGGAAATGCTTCCCATTTTTCTACTCTGCTTCTGTTTTCTCAATGTGTCCCTTTATGATCCAGTATAAACTCCAATTCTCTGGCTAAGGCAAAGTCAACAGTTTTTTTAGTTGTCCAGGTAACAGCATCTCTAGACCACACCAAGGTGTGGGGCTCTGATGTCAGATCATATGTAGTTCTGGTCTGTTTGTCCCGGTTGGCCGATGACTCTTGGGCTTGGAGTGCTGGGAACTCAGCAGGCAAAGAAACTCAGTTTCTGACAAAACAGGAAGACTGGTCACTTCTTTGGTGAACTATCCCACCCACCTAAGTGTCAGCTATCCCAGGCTTGGAAAGGATATACCTTCCTTGGAGCCTGGAAGATAGGGCATGACATCAACAGACATGAACTCTTCTGTCCCAAGATCTTCAGTCTCATTGAAAAGCAGACCTTAGGGGCACCTGGGTGGCTCAGTGGGTTGAGCCTCTGCCTTTGGCTCCAGTCATGATCTCAGGGTCCTGGGATCAAGCCCCACATCGGGCTCTCTGCTCAGCAGGGAACCTGCTTCACCCTCTCTCTCTCTGCCTGCCTCTCTGCATTCTTGTGATCGTTGTCTGTCAAATAAATAAATAAAAATCTTAAAAAAAAAAGAAAAGAAAACCTTAAACTAATGACTACATACTCAGGATATTGGTAAGGTTGGAACTGGGATCGAGGTGGCCAGAGAGGTCTAGAGAAGGGTAATTCAGCCACCACTTGAAGGACAGCACTCATAGCTTAACATTTCCTGGGGGTTCACCATGTGCTGATACCACGTAAAGCATTTTATGTGCCTTATTTAACTCAAATATCACACTAGCCTTTTCAGAGATATCCTTATTGATCCCCATTTTATAGATTTGGAAACCGAAGGTAAGGGAGGACATTTCTTTCTCAAGATCCCAGAGCTACAAAGTGACAGATTGAGATTGGAAAGCAAGAAACCTACTCCAGAGCCTGTATATTGTTTTTTTATTTTAGGAGAGTAACAGCTGCAAGGTAAAAAAGCTAGAAGCAAAGTCACAAACATCACGATGGGAGAGAGAAGAGGCAGCCCACTCCCCTGACCTATCCATCTACCTTCTTGTTTACCTGGATAGCAATCTCCAAAATTCTCTCTCTCTCTCTTGTTTTTTTTTTTTTTAAGATTTTAGTTATTTATTTGTCAGAGAGAGATTGAGAGGGTGAGAGTGTGAACACAAGCAGGAGGAGCAGCAGGCAGAGGGAGAGGGAGAAGCAGGCTCCCCACTGAGCAAAGAGCCTGATGCGGGACTCGATCCCAGGACCCTGCGATCATGACCCAAGCCCAAGGGAGATGCTTAATGACTGAGTCACCCAGACATCCCCAGTCTCCAAGGTTCTGTGTCATCAGATTTTCTAAGTGGTTGGGGAGCATTATTCTGGGCTAAATAGGAAATTACTCAGCATAAATTAAGCGAGCCACACGATGAGTTTGAGATTTGCCCAAATGTGGGTGGCTTTGACTATTGGGTCCCTGAGGGTAAGGCTCTTTGCCTTTTTGCTTCCTACTATATTTTCAGTGCTTATGTGCCTGGCACATAGCAGGACTCATTAAGTATTTAATGTACGAGTTTGTGAAATAAATGGGCCCAAAGCATGCGTCTTTAAAACAATCGTCTGGGGTTCCTGGGTGGTTCAGTGAGTTAAGCCTCTGCCTTTGGCTCAGGTCATGATCTCAGGGTCCTGGGATCGAGCCCTGCATTGGGCTCTCTGCTCAGCTGGCAGCCTTCTTCCCCGCCCCCCTCTGCCTGTCTCTCTGCCTACTTGTGATCTCTCTCTGTCAAATAGATTAAAAAAAAATCATCTGACATGAAAAAAAATATCTTCTTACAGAAATATCCAATCATTTCTCAAACATTTGTGCATAAGGGTGCCTGGGTGGCTCAATGGGTTAAGCCTCTGCCTTTGGCTCTGCCAGGGTCCTGGGATCGAGCCCCCGCATCGGGCTATCTGCTCAGCAAGGGAGCCTGCTTTCCCCCCTCTCTCTCTGCCTGCCTCTCTGCCTACTTGTGATCTCTGTCTGTCAAATAAATAAATAAATCTTTTAAAAAATTGTGTATAAACACAGGCTGCACACCAAACACTATAAATAACATAGAATATAGAAAATGTTAAGAATATATGAAAACTGAGAGTCTGTATTGGCTCACTGTTCTGTTTTATATGGGGTTCTCGTTTAGCTTAATATAAATTATTCCTATCGGCCCCTTCCAACAACTCCTCCAGGGGGAATGCCTAACCCCAGCCTCTTTTTCCTTCTAGTGAGAAAAAGCCACTCTGGGAGACAACTTCTCCACAGAAAGTGACGGGTCTCAGCCATGTCTGTTGGTGGCGGACATACAGTGAAGATAACTTACAGCGTTATTCAAATACTTGAGACTGTTGTATGAAGACCACCAGTCACCATTGTTCTCTTCCCCATACTTACCCCTTCCCAATCCACCCTCAGTACAACCTCATGGGATTAGCAGGAAGGCACCAGTGGGACCTCTACCACAGTGTTTGTTGCTCCATGGAAATTCAGAAATAAATAACACAGAGCCTGTCTTCTTGGGAAACTTCCAGACAAGCAGTGGACATGACAAGTCCTGCACCGAATTTGCCAGATGCCATGCAGCCAGGATCGACGTTGGCGGGGGCGGGGGTGGAGAGTGAAGGGAAGGGTACTTGGTATTTATGAGCAGTGTTTCTGGGCTCAGACAGCTTTGAGATCTTGGGTGGGAAACTCAACCTCTCTGCACCTCAGGAAAATGGGGTTATTAATAGCACATGATCCCTATGGGCCATCAGTCTGATTACGTGACCCATTATATGGGCAGATGCAAGGGACATGCTAAACACAGCGCCAGCCATTATAAGCTCCTTATCATTGGTGTTAGAAGTAGTTTTTGACAGGTGAATGGATAAAAAAGATGTGGTATATATATACAATGGAATACTATGCAGCCATCAAAAGAAATGAAATCTTGCCATTTGCAATGACGTGGATGGAACTAGAGGGTATTATGCTTAGCGAAATAAGTCAATCAGAGAAAGACAACTATCATATGATCTCCCTGATATGAAGAAGTTGAGAGGCAATGTGGGGGATTGGGGGGGTAAGAAAGGAATAAATGAAATAAGATGGGATCAGGAAGGAGACAAATCGTAAGAGACTCTTAATCTCACAAAACAAACTGTGGGTTGCCAGGGGGAGGGGGATAGAGAGAGGTTGGTAGGGTTATGAACATTGGGGAAGGTATGTGCTATGGTGAGTACTGTGATGTGTGTAAACCTGGCAATTCACAGACCTTTACCCCTCGGGCTAATAATACATTATATGTTGTTAAAAAAATTAAAAAATTCTAAAAAAAGATGTCATTTTTGAGGTTAATGTTAAAAGTTAAAAGTCAAAAAGTTAAAAAAGGAACTACCCTAGGACCCAGCAATTGCACTACTGGGTATTTATCCAAAGGATATAAAAATAGTGATCTGAAGGGGCACCTACACCCCAGTGTTTGTAGCAGCAATGTCCACAACAGCCAAGTTATGCAAAGAGCCCACATGTCCATGGACAGATGAATGGATTAAGAAGACGCATTATGTATACACAATGACTATTACTCAGCCATTAAAAATAATGAAATCTTGCCATTTGCAAGACATGGATAGAGCTAGAGTGTGTCATGTTAAGTGAAATAAGTCCGTCTGAGAAAGACAAATACCCCATGATCTCACTCCTTTGTGGAATTTAAGAAACCATATAGATGAATACAGGGAAAGGGAAGGAAAAGCAAAATAAGATAAAAACAGAGATGGAGGCAAACCATAGCGACTCTTGACTGTAGAGAATAAACTGGTGGTTGCTGGAAAGGAGGAGGATGGGGGGTGGGCTGGTTGGGGGATGGGCATTGGGATGACATGTTGTGACGGGCAGTGAGTGTTGTGCCTAGGTGACAAATCACTGAATTCTACTCCTGAAACCGATGCTGCACTATATGTTAACTAACTTGAACTTAAGTTTAAGAAAATCAACAGGGCACCTGGGTGGCTCAGTTGGTTGAGCAGCTGCCTTTGGCTGAGGTCATGATCCCGAAGTCCCGGGATCAAGTCCCACTCCCAGCTCCATGGGGAGTCTGCTTCTCCCTCTGACCTTCTCCCTTCTCATGCTCTCTCTCACTCTCTATCTCAAATAAATAAACAAAATCTTTTAAAAAATAAATAATAATAATAAATAAAAAGGAAGTCATTTTAGAAAAGAACCCCGGGGCGCCTGGATGGCTCAGTGGGTTAAAGCGTCTGCCTTCAGCTCGGGTCATGATCCCAGGGTCCTGGGATCGAGCCCCGCATCGGGCTCTCTGCTCAGTGGGGAGCCTGCTTCCCCCCCATCCCCTCTCGGCCTGCCTCTCTGTCTACGAATGATCTCTGTCTGTCAAATAAATAAATAAAAATCTTTAAAAAAAAAATAAAAAAAAGAAGCCCTCTTCTTTTCCTCCAGCAAACCTACCGTGTAAATATTATTTAGACTACGTTACATAAACTATATATAAACTTGCTGGGTTTGTAGGTTAAAAACAGTCAAATGTCCAAGTGATGTTGTGAAGCAATAGTATGTATCTGGTTTTCTCCCTGGTTCCTAGCACAGAGTTCCAAAAGTCCCTGCAGTGTCCTAGGGAGAAGGAAGAGAGGAGCCTCTTCTGTTATTCTGCCTGAACTGAGTTTATGCTCATGAGATGACTGGTGTCTAAAGGCCCCTGAAGTCTTCTGGTTGGGGTTTGGTTGCCCCAGGAATCGTGTGATTAGAGGATTGGAACTCTCAGCCCCACCCCTGACCTCCAGGGACAGGAGAAGGGTTGGGGATCCCGTTCATCACCAGGGGCCATGATTTAATCAATCGTGTCTAAGGTTTCTTCTCCAAGACAACACCAAACGGCCCATGATGTAGGTGCTGCGGCAGGGCCCAGAGGACCCAGGGGATTCCGTGAGGTTTTGACTGCGGCATCTGAGGCCACGGCCACCGTCATGGAGCTCACTGAGGCAAGGCCGAGGACAAGGAGTGGATCCCCATCACCAAGCCAAGCCACTTGGTCAAGGGGATGAAGATCAAGTCCCTGGAGGAGATCTACCTCTTCTCCCTGCCCATCAAGGAATCTGAGATTACTGACATCTTCCTGGGGGCATCCCTCAAGGACGAGGTTTTGAAGACTGTGCCTGTGCAAAAAGCAGACCCGTGTGGGCCAGCGGGCCAGGTTCAAGGCATTTGTAGCCATCAGAGATTCCAATGGACACATCAAGTGCTCCTAGGAGGTAGCCACTGCTGTCTGTCTCGCCAAGCTTTCCAGCATCCTCGTGCAGCAAGGCTGCTGGGAGAACAAGATTGGCAAGCCTCATACTGTCCCATGCAAGATGACCAGCCACTGCAGCCCTGTGCTGGTGTGTCTCATCCCCACCCCCAGAGGCACTGCCGTTGTCTCAGCCCCTGTGCCCAAGAAGCTCCTGAGGATGGCTGGTATCAGACTGCTACACCTCAGCCAAAGGCTGCACTGCCATCCGGGGAACTTTGCCAAGGATACTTTTGATGCCATCTCCAGGACCTATGGCAATCTCACCCCTGACCTATGCAAGGGGACGATGTTCACCAAGTCTCCCTATCAGGAACTCACTGACCATCTTGTGAAGACCCACACCAGAGTCTCTGTGCAGAGGACCGAGGCTCCAGCTGCGGCCACCACGTAGTTTTATACAAGAAAAATAAAGTGAACCAAACCTGTTTTTAAAAAAAAAAAAATGTGTCTGTGTCATGGAATCTCCATAAAAGTCCTACAGCAGGGTTCAGATGACTTTGGGCAGGTGAATACATCCCAGTGCTGGAAAGGTGGTACATTCCCACTCCATGGGGACAGAAGCTGCTGTGATGGGTTCTTTCTGGACCTCACCCCACATCCTACCTCATCTGGCTGTTTACCTGCATCCATTCTAATACCCTTTACAATCAAATACCCTTTACAATCAACTGGTGATATTAAGTGGAGTGTTTCCTTGAGTTCTATGAGCCTTTATAGTAAATGCTCCAACCTCAGGAAGGGGGTCTGGGAACCCTCAATTTGCAGCCAAGTCAAACAGAAGTGTGGGTAAACTGGGAACCCCCTACTTGGGATTGGTGTCTGAAGTAGGGGCCAGGCTCTTGGGACCAAGTCCTTAACCTGTGTAGGCCACGCTAACTCCAGGTAGAGCCAGGTTGAATGAAACCACAGGATATCCAGCCGGGGTCCTCAGAGATTCAGAGAATGGCTTGGTGTGGGAAAGCCATGTGTTTCGTGTTGGAAGTGTTGTGAGGGGGAAATCTGGTTTTCCCTGAACTCTGAAATTTCATCCAGTTCCACCTAATCAGATCGTGTAAAAACTGGGAGGAATATGGTAGAAGAGTTGATACACAAAAGGAGAAGGTCTCGAAACCCAGGCAAAACCAGGTGTCTGAATGCTCCATGATTATTTTGCTAAACTTCCCCCATGCCAGCCGTTCCCTCCCTCTGAAGCCTCGCTCTCGGCTCCATAAAACGTCAAGAAAAGAAACACCAGTAGTTGTAAGTGTCACAATTCGGTTTTACGTGGCCGTTAACTAACCCCTGGCCGATCGTGGAGTTCGGCTGTCAGTATACTCCACACCTTGTTAAAAAAAAAAAAATCACATAGAAACTTCTGTGTGAATTCATTGTGAGCGCTTGTAACTCCTGAGGGACACTGAGTGACGGAACAGGGAGGCTGGGTTTCTTAAAATTTCACTAAGGGACTGGTTTCTAACTTGACCAACAGCTATCCCAGCTGAGGACAGAGGATGGCCACTGGGTACGGGGTACCAGCAGTGAAGACCTAGATAGGAGGTAGGACACTCTTTGCTAAAAATATTCAGATCCATAAAGATCGACAGACTCATCCCAGCAGCAAGCCTATGAAGGTATTTTTTTAAATTTATTTTTATTTGCTTTTATTTTTGTTTATTTGTTAAGGTTTTATTCATTTATTTGAAAGAGAGACTCTGTGGGGGCAGGGGCAGAGGGAGAGAATCTTCAAGCAGACTCCCTGATGAGTGCCGAGCCCTATGTGGGGCTCAATCCCAAGACCCTGGGATCATGACCTGAGCCAAAACCAAGAGTCAGACATTCAGCCCAATGAGCCACACAGGCACGCTGAAGAAAATGTATTTAGATCCATCCTCATGAGGAAACTGCATTCAGAAAGTTTAAGTCACCTGTCCGAAATTACACAGGGGGGAAGAGCCACAGGTACAATCGGAACCGTAAAGGAGGGTTTGGATGATTTGGAGGGTAAATATCAATTGCCATTCATTTAACTATCACTTTAAATCTCAGCACCATTTCAGCGACACTTGGCAAATATTTCTCATGCCCTAACTCCTTGCCAGATACGAAGCTAGGTGAGCGCAACCATATCTCGTGTCCAGCTATTAGATTGCTTGATTTGTGACTCACATTTTAAAAGAAGAAAGAGAAAATCAGCATCTAAATGAGTAGGAGTAGGAAGGATGCCCCAGTTTATTTCCAGAGCCTGAGCTGCATGCAAAGCCTTCCAGAATGTTCTGGGAAGGGAGAGTGTGGTGTTTCCTGCCACCCACCTGCTCTCTACGGACAGACGAGAACAACTCTCCAGGCTAGTAGCGAGACTTATAACTCTTGTTAGTGCACTTTTATAGAATGTGCTTCAGAGGAGTTTCTCGACCCAAGTAGGGCTGCTTCCCATGTGGGTGTGCAGACCCAGACCAGTGAGCTGTCATTAAGGGAGGCAGCATTGCCCAGCTCAGGCGCTAAACCAGGTGGAGACAGAGAGGCTAATTCTCCTGCCCCACCCCCACCCCGACCCCCTTTTCTCACACCTGCAAAATTATGACCCAGGAACAACTAGGTCTTTACTTGGGGGGGAACACCCACAGACTGAAACAGCTTCTCATGCCTAGGGCTGGCCAGCCCCACGTCCCCCACCCTCAGCCTCCATGCAGGGAAAAAGACCAGCTGACTCTGAACTTCCTCTTCGCTGTCTGATTCCCCTTGTAGCATGAGGAAGAAAGACTGCGTCTCTCACCACCCAAGGCTGTCAATCAATGGCATAAGTGCCACTTCCAGTACTTGAGGGCTTTTTCAATGCGTATTTGTAGAGATTCATGGTTGTTGTTAATTTGTTTTCTTCCCAAGACTGGACACTCTGATATTTGCAAAGATGACATCTTCATTTCTGATTATTAGAGCTTTGCATTCATTATACCCACTAATTAGCATAAAATATACATTGAATGATAAGATACTCTTTGGGGCTCTATGATACTAACAACAAAGACATTATTTGTATTACAGGGCCGGGCATTATTCTAAGTGCTTGACACCACAAATTACAAAAAAAAAATGACTGACTTTATCTGTACACTCTGTGACTCGGGTTCTCTTCTTATCCCAACTTCACTGATGAGAAAACTGAGCCCAAGGTGATACATCCGATAAATGACAGAGCTGGGATTTGAACCTGGGGAATCGGTCTCCAGACAGATTGTGCTCGGTATGCTCTGTGAAATAAAGCAGATGCCGGAAAAGATAGAGGCAAGTGATCTCACTTAGATATCATTGAAGCAGAGAGTAGGACAGTGACAGTGACAATAGTTAACAATACTGGAATTGTATACCTTAAGTTTGCTAAGAGGGTAGATCTTAATGTAAACGTTCTTATTACATGCACACAATAATAATAATAATAAAGGGGGTGGGAGGAAACTTTGGGAGGTGATGAAGATGTCTTTGGCCTTGCTCATAGTGATGATCTCATGGGTGGATACGTACCCCCAAACATGCTGAGTCATACACATTAAATATGTACAGCTTTTTGCGCATCCATCATACGTCATAAAGTCACTTTAAAAATAAATACATGCATGGTATTCGAAAAGAGGAGAAGGAAGAAAAATATTACTGGTGGAAAGAGACTTAATTGACATGTCAACGACATGCCACATGGGATCATTTCATGCATTCTGGTTCAGATAATGAACTATGAAGAAAC